ACTTACCAGTCACTCCTCGGAAGGAAGACTGGGCAGTCTACTTTTGTAGCGATGCTGCCTCAGAAACCCACGGAAGGGTCGCTATGAGTCAGAATCGACTTGTCAGCAGTGAATTTGGTTTGGAGAGTTTAGGATAGAAATGCACTATTTCTTGAATTTATTTTTCATTCTGGAGAAATGGCTTGAAATTTTTTGCTTTGCACCTATTGGAGAATTTTTATAATATTGAAGAAATACAACCTGAAACCTATTACTGAGTATGTGCTCACTTAAAAAAAAAAAGAAAATTAGACAACACAGAGGAATACATATTAAAGTTCACCTTCATGCCAGCCCACCCCAGTTCTCCTTTCCCCAAAACCTAGGGGTTACCACTTTACAGTTGGGTGTGTATCCTTCCACACCATTGTCATGCATACATGTTACATTTTATACAAATTGAAACTACCATGGGAGGCCAGATAAACAACCAGGGAGGTGGTTTAGTTTGCTTTTTACAGAAATGAGATCTTAACATTCTTTGCAAGTTGGACTTTTGTTGTTGTTGTTCACTTAATGTATCTTGGTGAGTTGCTTGTTTCGGTGCTGATAGCTCCACCTCATTCTTTTTAACTTCTGTGTAATATTCCATAATACACCAGCTTCTGTCGGTTCTGACTTGTGGCATCCCCATGTGTGTCAGAGTGGAAAGGTGCTGTCGTGGGTTTTGAAATACATTACCAGGCTTTTTTCTTTTATTCAAGTACCTCTGGATGGACTCAAGCCTCCAGCCTTTCGTTTAGCAGCCAAACTCATTAATCATTTGTTCTACCCAGGGACTCTGTTGAGAGCTCCACAAATCTAAGGTAATGCAGTATAGCTATGAATATAGTTAGTATGTGGGTTAGAAGGAAAATAGATCCACTGCAATACGTGTGCCTCGTGGAGAGAAAAGGTGGTGGTGGAGTGGATGCTGACTCACAGCGACCCGTGTGTGTCAGAGCAGAACTGCACCCCATAAAGGGTTCACTGCCTGTGACCATTCAGAAAGGTCTCTGGGTGGCACAAGGAACTGCTTGACTGCTAACCTAAAAGGTTGGTGGTTTGGATCCACCCAAAGGTGGGTGCTACAGAAGATAAACCTGGTGGTCTGCTTTTGTAAAGATTACAGCCAAGAAAACCCTGTGGAGCGATTCTGCTCTGTCACGTGGAATCCCCACGTTGGAATTTCCTGACAGCGACGGGTTGTTGCCCTTTGCTCTGTAACCCTTCACCCGAATCACAATTAAAAAAAAAAACAACCCAGAGCTATCAAGTCAGCTCCGAGTCCTAGCAGCCCATGTGTTACAGTTAGAACTGTTCTGAGGGTGTTCTTGACTGTAATCATTACAGAAGACTTGTACTCTTTTGTTGTTGTTGTGTGCCATTGAGTCAGACCCGACCCATGGCGACCCCTCCTTGGGTTTCCAAGGCAGTATCACTACGGAAGTAGATTGCCCCATCTTCCTTCTGGGGAAGTGGCTGGTGGGTTTGAACCGCCAGCCTTTTGGTTAGCAGTCAAGTTTTAGTTCTTTACTCCTCTGGCACAATTCACTCTCTTCATTCTCATTCCTAAAACTTTGAGGCAGGTTCAAATACATGTAGTTCTTTTACTGTAAGTGGACTTTAAGGCCATGTTTTTTTTTTTTTTTTTTAATGTGATTTGGGTGAAAGTTTGCAGAGCAAATTCATTTTCCATACAGCAGTTCGCATACACTCTGTCTCATGACTTTGACTGCAGTTTCCCACAATGCAACAGCTCCTCTCCCACTTTCTCCCCATGGTTACCTCTTCCCTGTGTCCCTCCCTCCTGTGCACTCCTACCCCCCCCCCGCATACACAGCCCTCTTATTCTCCCATGATTGATGTCTCTGAAGAGTGTCTCAACTTAATGTAAATGTTCAGCTCATGTGGCTGTCTCCTGTTAGTCTGGAAGCCACAGGAGTGGGTTCAGTTCCAGACCTGAAGGGTAATTAATTACAGGCCATAGTCTCGGGTTCCACCAGGCTCTATCGGACCAGCAAACCTGGTTGCCGCCCCCCCCCCTTTTTTTTTTTTAATGATTTTGAGTTTTGTTCCACATTGTTCTCCCACAATATCTAGGATCTCCTTTAGAGATCCCCCTCTGAGTAAGGCCACATTGCTTAAGATTCCTTTCCTTTTCTCTTTAACCAGAGGTACTGGTTTAAGGTCTACACTTTTGGATTCAGTTCACAACTGTTACTAATATTACTATGGCTGTTTGAGAGTGTGATTGGAATAGTGGTTCTCAGCTGTGGTTGAGAGGAGGAGCCTTTGAACAATGCCCAGGCCTCACCCTTACAAATTCTTTATTATTTGGTCAAGGGTGTGGTACAGGAATCCTGTTTTTTGAAAACTGACCCTCTGTAGTTCAATGACTTCTGGTAAGATGGAGGATTAGGCAGACAAGTGACACAGACCCTCTTCAACAAAGAAAATAAAAGCCAATTGACAGAGATACAGAAGATAATCCTGGAGCCCTGAGTTTTGGAAGGAAGTATACAGAAGTGGATTTTGTTGTTGTTGTTGTTATGTGCCGTCGAGTCGGCCCCGACTCATAGCGACCCTCCTTGGGTTTCCGAGGCAGTATCACTACGGAAGTAGGATTGCCCAACCTTCCTTCCGAGGATTGGCTGGTGGGTTTGAACCGCCAGCTGTCTGGTTAGCAGGCAAGTGTCTTAGCCACTATGCTACCAGAGAAGTGGATTAGGCACTAACTAATGGAAAAACCTGAACAAAAACAGTAAGTACAGAGATGGTCGGAGCTGCGGACTGCCAGCTACTCCGATGGGACCAACAGCCTGAAAAGTTCCAAGTGGTGTTGGGACCTGAGCTTTGACCTAAAAAAGATCAGCCCTGGTCATCAGGGCTAGGTGACTAGGAAGGGAAACAGCAAGGAGGGAGACAACCTGAGCTGTTGACTTTCTGCTGTCTGGAGGGCACAGTCATTTTGATTGTTTACACACGGCATCCATTTTGGATATTTAAAGTGACTGAGGGTGCAATCATTTTGAATTTCTACAAGTGGCAACTATTTTGAATTTTAAAATGATAGCATTCTCATTCACATTCCAGAGCCTAAGAATAGGCTCTGTTTGCCAAGGTCGGTAGGGACATACAAGAGACTGACAACAGGAAAGGGGACAGGTGGTGAGTATATAAGTGCTGCCCACTAGCAAATACAGGAGCACAGCACAGTACCCTGCTTGCGTAGATAATATACAAACGAAAATCGTGGGCAAGTCACTCCAGCATACAATCACCAATTAAATATAGATACAAAAGCGTCACAATGCCTCAGAGACAACAGAGCATCACAGTCCATACAAAGAAGCAAGATAAAGCAGGAGAAACAAGTGACCAGAATACAGACCCAAAACACATCACTGAGGAAGACGCAGCATTGGAACGCTCTGATAAGGAATTCAAAAGAATTATATTTAGGTATTTTCAATGAATTGAGAGATCAAGGAAAACACAGAAACCCTACAACAATTTTGAAAGATAATGCAAGAACAAAATGACAAAATAAATGAAAAATTAGAAATGATACAAAATTTATACTTAACAGTTACATTGGACATGTCATCCGGGCAGACCAATCACTAAAAAGGACATCGCGTTTTTAGGGTAGAAGGTCACTGGAAATGATGGAATCCCCAGTTCATTGGAGTGGCCAGACAGTCACAGCATGCACCAGACATACTAGTGCTCATGGAGGTGGCAGGATGGGCAGTATTTGGTCCCATTATACAGAAGGTCATCATGAGTCAGAGCCTACTTGATGTCACCTAACAATAGTGCAGTAACTTTCATGTGAGGCAGCGTTTCTGTGTCCTGTAGCCTCACCCCTAACAGCCATCTACCCATGCAGTAAGGGAACCGTTGGTTACGTCGGAGATGAGTCAGGATGATGTGAAATTGCAAAACTTGTTCTCTTTTGATGAAAGATGAGTTAAAATATGAAAGCCCCGGAGGAATCCTTTCTGAGTTTTAGTTTTTCAGTTTCTCTCTGGGATCTTAACCCCTCAGAACAGTACTCTGGGGTGTCTCTTGAGTATGCTACACAGGTAACTACCCTGCAGCTTCTCTGCAGTTTTGGGGCATGTTTTTCATTAAATGCTTGTTCCTAAGAATCTCCTGGGGCTCCACAGATAGTTGGGGGTATGGAGTAGGGCTGGGACTCTGTACTTAGAACAAGTACATAGTAATCCAGGTGGTTATTATGGCCGAGCAAGTTAGGGAAACACTACTCTTAAGAATGGTAAAGCCCTTGTTATCCATGACTGTACCATCTGAGTGGTTTGATCTTTGAAGGTAATTTGAGGCCGAGCCTGGGTACTCCATGGTCAGGAGACCACTTGATGTTACAGTTCCATGAAACTGGCTTCTGTTTTATTGGTTCCTAATCTGATGACACTTGCCTGCTAACCAGAAGGCTGGCGGTTCAAACCCACCAGCCACTCCTCGGAAGGAAGGTTGGGCAATCCTACTTCCGTAGTGATAATGCCTCGGAAACCCAAGGAGGGGTCGCTATGAGTCGGGGCCGACTTGACGGCACATAACAACAACAACAACAATCTGATGATAACTAGAGTCACGGGAGAAACATTTAACACTACAGCTGCCTGGAGTCAACCTCAGGTTCTGATTCAGTTGGGAAAGTAGTTTTTTGTTTCTTTTTTTTTCTTAAATAAAAAAGAACTTCCTAGGTGATTGTCACTAGCCAGGTTTGGAGACCAGATCACTGATGTGGTACAGAGTGAAGGATTTGGAGTCAGCAGGTCTGGATTTAAATCCTGGTCCTTGGCCATTTAAGTCTTACGGATTTGGATAAAAGGATTAAAGTTCTACTTTGATGTGTTTTGAAGGGAGACTACTTAGAAGGTAGATGTTTTGACCGTTTGATTATTAAGCATACTGCCTCGTGAATTAATGCCCTCTCCTTTCCTTTAGATCTGATGATCATGGACCTGCGGCAGTTTCTTATGTGCTTGTCCCTATGCACAGCCTTCGCCTTGAGCAAGCCCACAGAAAAGAAAGACCGGGTGCACCATGAGCCTCAGCTCAGCGACAAGGTTCACAATGACGCGCAGAGTTTTGATTATGACCATGATGCCTTCCTGGGGGCTGAAGAAGCAAAGACCTTTGATCAGCTGACGCCGGAAGAGAGCAAAGAAAGACTTGGGTAAGATGCCAACTCTCAGGGAGCTATTAGGGTAATGCCATTCCCTATCAGTCATCCAGTTCTTTTTACCTCTTTATGCTCAGTCACCCAGTAAAGCTATGTTGAGCTCCCGCTTCTGAAAGCTAACCACAGAATTGCTACCAATAAAAATTGAGAGCCTGATTTCATGCATTTCTCCGTTGAATAACAATTTGCACCTCATTCTACAAAGCAAAGTCATTTTTGCGTGAAATACCAAGCACTACAGGACCCAGCTTAAACTGCTGGGATAATCTTGATCCCAAAAGAACATCATATGAGGAAACTTCTCATCTCTGCTGCTTTTAATTCTTAAAAACTGCCAGTGACCTATTTATTGTTGCCCAAGCCATGTCTTTTTGTGGCTGGTAAGTTGCAAATTGGACCCCAGTTTATTTTCTGTAAAGTTTATGATTTCCCAGGATGTTCCTGACCCTTTTTGCTTTCATTCTTAGGTATTCGCTTGATTAGAAAACTGTACAAAGCAAAACAGTGGTCTAAAAGTCACAGTATGAGTTGCTGTTTGACAAAAAGCCAGGCCATGGTCAGGTTCTTTGTCTCTCAGCAGGATGCTTTTTTCCACTGTATTAATCTCGAAAAGGAGTCACTGGGTGGCACACAAGGTCAGTGGTTCAGATCGACCCAGAGATGCCTCAGCAGTAAGGCCTGGTGATTTGCTTCTGAAAAGTCCCAGCCTTGAAAACCCCATGGAGCAGTTCTGCTCTGCACACTTGGGGTCACAGTGAGTCAGAATTGCCTCAGTAGCAACAAACGACAACGACAATCCTAAAGAATTGATTTGGTAGAATCCCGGTTGATTGTTTCTAACTGGGGGTTGAAGAATATCTTTTTTGGTTTTGTCAAAACCTTAATTTTTAGGAAAGTACAGGTCAATTTAGTGAAAAATGTCTCCTCAACTGAGTACCCTTGGGCGGTTTTCTGAATGACACTCAAGAGATTTGTCTGGAAAGTTGTATCACATTCTCCTAGTGTGATTCTAAAACATTCTTAGGAGTTTGCTTTCAGAAATACATCAGAACAGATTGATGTTATTCTTCCATTGGGTTATCTGCTGTTTTGTTCTTTGACATGGCAGAAATAATGCAAAGGTTTTGCTATGTAGAATGAGCAACTGTCCCCAAATGTTTGAAAATAGACATAGAAAAGATAACTGTATTAAAAACTCAGGCTTGTGTTAAGTTGCTTTTCTAACTTTCAGAGACCATGCTCACTTTTAATTTAACTCTGCTAACATTCCAGGCTGGACATAGGGATGCATGAGGGTGTCTCGGTCTTCGTGTTGTGCCTGTTGATTTCATGCATGTCTGACCCATATTTTACCTCTTCACTGAAGTAAATAATGAAGCCCTGAGGTTGGGTATCATTAGGCTAGATGGTACTTTAATGTGGATATTCTGGCTCTCTGTAGGTAGTAAGTAGAAGGGCTCTGCCAGTGGTTCTCGGTGAGGAGAACATGTTCCTTTTTTGTCATCAGTAAATATCAAAAATTCAGCACATGAGCAGACCATTTGATTAGGATAACCCACTGCTGTTGAGTCAGATCCGACTCATAGTGACCCCTCCTTGGGTTTCCGAGGCAATATATCACTACGGAAGTAGATTGCCCAACCTTCCTTCCAAGGAATGGCTGGTGGGTTTGAACCACCAGCCTTCTGGTTAGCAGTCAGATGCCTTAGGCACTATGCCACCAGAGCTCCCAGCCTTGACTTGGGTAAGATGATAGAAAAAGGTGATATAAATCATGTTTTTCATGAAACAGAACTGTTTGCTTTTCCCATATTTTGGAGATAGTGACAAATAGCCCTAGTTTACAGTTTCTAACATACTGTTAGAAGCAAGAATCCCAGGTGAACTGGTTTTTTTTTTTTTTTGCTCATTCACTGTGGTATTTCTAAACATTGTTTTGATAGGTGATGGTAAACCAGAGGTTAGGAACATCTGATGGCCCCTTTTTTCCATCTGTTTATAGAGATAAGATGATTATGCCTATAGTTGCAAGATTTTCCTACTTTCAGATATTTAATAATAAAACTAAAAGACCACAGGAAGTATTTTTATAAACAATTTTAATACACAGTTTTCCATTCCTTTTTCTTATAAATAAAAAATGTTGACAAGTAGGGCATTTTCTCTTATGTGTATACTGTCATTTTCTTTCCTATAAACAACAAAAGAAGTCTAACTGTACTTTTCATTTCTGTGTCCTTCAGAGGAATGTTTGTTTGTTTGAGGTGGTGGTCCTTGATACAAAGAAGTCCTCACCCTTGAGTTACTTGCTATAGAAAGTGGCTAGAACAGTTCATTATCCTGTCTGGATGTGACATGCCCAGACCTTTGGGAGTCTAGGGAGAGCTAAGAACTCTTCCTCAGACAAGTGCATGCATAAGAACATGCCGAAAATTCATTTTATGGACCCTCCTGGAGTCCATCTGTTGGCCCAGATTCTTAAAAGGGTTCATTTATGCCACTTGAGGTGTAGAGGCCTGTGTTACCTCTTAGGAGAAATAGCGCAGAGCCACTGAGTGCATTGTGTCTGCCCTTGAGTAAATGCTTATTTACTCACTGCCGTCAAGTTGAATCCTACTCATAGCAACCACTCCTGGGGTTTCTGAGGTGGTACCTCTACGGAAGTAGATTGCCCCAACCTTCCTTCCGAGGAGTGGCTGGTGGGTTTGAACCGCCAGCCTTCTGGTTAGCAGTCAAGTTCCTTAGGCACTACGCTCCTAAGTTCTCACTTGGTGGCATCTAAATAGGTTCATAGAGTTCCCCAGTGTCCTAGGAATACACACTGAAATTTAAACAGGCTTTTCAAGATTAGGGTTTGGAGCATTGGGCCTAGACCTTTTTTTAAAAAAAAAAGATGTGGCCCACAAAGCCCAAAGTATTTGCTGTCTGTCCCATTACAGAAAGCATTTGCAAACCCTGATGAAACCATAGGGGTAATTCTGTTGGAGTAAATAGAATGACATTTGGTCAAATGCATGAAGAAATCCCTTCTTGAACAGTCATTGCCTTTTTTGATCTGGACTGTCTCTTTAGACTATTTATGACAGTTGAGAAATGTCTCTTGGGGATAGGAGGGTTCCCCCCCCCCCCCGAATTGTACAGTAGCACTGGTCGTTTGGGCACAAACTGGACCCCATCATAGAAAATGCAGACATTTTCAATACTGTTATAATTTGATTTGTTTGTATCATTAAAACTCAACAAGGTTGAAGTTGTTAAAAGAAAAAAAAAAATGTTGTCCTTAGGTCATGTGGCTAGAAGGGAGGGTATTTGACACACAGCCACTTCTCCTGTGCCTGTTCTGTTAGCATTCAGAGCCAATGCATGGGCTCACACAGTATTGAAGGAAAACGGTAGGTGATTCTAAGAGTTGAGTAGCAGAGTTACGGCTAACGCTGGGTCAGTTCAAGTGAATCTCTTCCCAGTGTCACTATTACTCTGGTTCTAGTCACTTTCCCGTGTTGTAGTCATGAAATGAAAACAAACTGGAAAAAGACAGAATTTGCTACCAAGTGGCAGCCTTTTTTCATTCTGCAATTAATAGACCATGAGAGGGTGCCAAGATTGCACTTCTGCTGAAAGTTTTGATTTAAAGTTACTATTCTAAAATGGGCCACTTGTGTGACTGTTCATAGGTTTTAGCTTTCCTGAGTTAGGCTACAGAGATTTTATTTCACACATACATTTTGAAATCCTTCCTTTAAGAGGACAGATTTGGAGGAGAGATACCCATAAGGGGAGAACACATAGATGTGTGTAATGCATATATGACAGTTGTGTTGATTCAGGGGTTGTGTTGTTTTGCTTTATCATCTGCACACTAACCCTCTCAGCTTATTAACATTCTCATCTTCAGGGAGACACGTTCTCGCCACGTCATTTCCTGAGTTCCCTATTTTCATGCTTATATGTGACACTCCAGTTCAGCATCTCAGCGTATTGTAAGCTATTGGCCATTTTTCAGAATATGCATCCTCCTGTCTTTGCCTATTGTTTTTCATATCTCTAGTTTTAAACAGTGTTACCTTTTTCAAAGGTTGGTTTAAATATTTTGCATTTTTAGAAAATCGTGTCAGTGGTTTTGATTGCTTACCAGGAAACTGGGACTCTCATCTAGAAGCAACAAGGGGAAATAGAAGGATTGACATGATATTTATGCCAGAGTGGAGAACCCAGGTAGCAGTGGATAGTCACTGACGATGAACTCTGACCACGGGCTGAAGCTGACCTCTAATGGGAGGGCTTTGCTTTTGGATCCAAGGGCACTAGGCACGGACTGAGCCTTCCTTACCTAGGTGGCTTGTTAGAGTCCAGTTCCCAGCCACTTGGCAGAGAGGGAGGGGAAAAAAAAAAAATCTGTTGCCTGATTTGGGAGTTTCATTTAGAGGCTTTCTTTTTTTTTAAAAAAAAAAAAAAAAAATTGCCAGTGCTTTAGCCCTGGGTCACACCTGTGGTCACAGCACACACACATGGCTAAGTCAACAGCCTTGTGTCCTTTTAACCTCTTGCTGGATTTCTCTGCATTTTCTACAGAAAGATTGTAAGTAAAATAGATGGCGACAAGGACGGGTTTGTCACTGTGGATGAGCTCAAAGACTGGATTAAATTTGCACAAAAGCGCTGGATTTACGAGGATGTAGAGCGGCAGTGGAAGGGGCATGACCTCAATGAGGACGGCCTCGTTTCCTGGGAGGAGTATAAAAATGCCACCTACGGCTACGTTTTAGGTAGGTCCCTACTGCCCCGGGGAGAAAGCCTTGTGGAGCCGGCACCTTGAAACGTAACTGTTTTGTCTTGTAGAATGATTGTAGATAAAATAGACGCCGATAAAGATGGGTTTGTGACGGAGGGGGAGCTGAAATCCTGGATTAAGCACGCCCAGAAGAAATACATATATGACAATGTTGAAAACCAATGGCAGGAGTTTGATATGAATCAAGACGGCTTAATCTCCTGGGATGAGTACAGAAACGTGACTTATGGCACTTACCTGGGTAAGGGGCAAGATGTCAGCCTGGCAGAGACCATGGTCTTGAGTCAAGGAAACAAATGGGTCACCCAGTAAAGGAAAGGAGAAATAGCTGATTCCCTCTATTGAACAGAGATCAATTTGCATACTGTGTATTTTCTTAAATTACAGTTTTCTGAAATATTCCACCTTGTATGTCTTTAGCATTTCAACTATATTTTGCTGTTTTTTTTTCTCTTCCTGTCACCCTCACAGGGGCACTTTTGGGGCTAGGTCCCCCTAAAAGCCTGCATTGTTCCAGCAGTGCAAAGCAGGAGGCTTCGCGATATCTCTTGACACGTTAAAGTGTTGGATCTAAAATTTCAGCCCAATTAGATTCCTTTATGACTGGTGAGAATAGGAGGGAAATTGGTCTTTCCTTCCTTTAATGGAAAGCTCAGATAATAAAGCTTTCTTTGTGAAAAGTTAGTGCTCAGTGTAGTCTGTTTACTGGAGTTTGGAACTGAAAATTCCCCATTTGTTTTCTCTGGCACCTAAGTTGACCATGATTGCTTGCTGTTGGTTTGGTGGCTTGTGTGCTTGGGCCACCTGTTAGCCATTTTCTTTCACTTACCCACTTGCCTGCTGCTGGGTACTAGGTGGCGATCTTAACTGAGTTGATGGCTCGGGGTGTTTTTGTCAGTCAGATCCTCCTATAGTACTCGGGTACAGTTTGGGATAAGAATGAATAAATACTGCTTTTTACATTTTTACCCTGCAAATGAGGCACATTTCTGGGTTGAAGCAGACACTGTCCACGGCTGGCAGGCCGTGAGTGTGTGGTGGTCGCGGGTCGTCATCATCATCATCCATCCCCCGGCCAGCTGACCAGCTGTCCGGGTTAATTACAGAGCTGCCTGCGTTTCTGGTGAAGAGACTTTTATTTCTGTGTCAAGTTTGTTCTCATTCCTAAGACTACAGTGGAAATCTCTCTCAGTGCTTGACACTTAGCCAACAACCAAACATAGCCTTCACCCAATTAAGAACACGTGTATTAAAACCAGTGCAGATGAGAGGCAGCCTCAGACAACACCCTCCTGACTTACTTGGAATTAAGACCAAATATAAAGCAAAGGGTTAGCAACTGGTGATCTAAACCAAATGATGTGCTAATAAATTTCAGCGCTGGCCTGGACACTCGTTGCCCAGAATGAATCTTAAAAGCTGTGTGTGATTATGTGCATAAAAGTCTCTCAAGAGCCCTGTTGTCTCACAGAGCGGATGATTCAACAGAGTGGGCATTTCTCTGACTGAGGCTATGCATAAGCTGAAGTGCTGGCCGGAGACGCCATGCCTTTATAAGGCATCTTCCCCGGAGGAGCGCGGGCAGGCCACTCTCGGGGTGTGATGCGTTCGCTCAGAGAAGTGCGTGTTTTTGTGAATGTGTATTCTTGACTCAATTTTGAGTTCAGGTATAAATCACCTTAATTCTTTATTCAAATGTGTCTCAGTGGATCTACTTTTCACAAAAGAATCGTTATTTACATGGTTCAGCCGTATTTAAAACTCGAAATACTAAGATCCAGCCTGCCTAGATCCAGAGCCTATCTGAAACTGTGGACAGGCGGCTGGGCCAGTCAGCTGGGGTTCAGCAGAGACGGGGCCCGAAGAGTAGTTGTTAAAAAACAAAAGCTTTGCATCGTTCGTTCTCATCCTCATACTCTGTGCCGGTTGCTATCAGGCTACTGCATTTCAGTGACCATGTTTTACCCCAAGGACAGGAGATGCTTAGCTGAGAATCGTCTTGCCTGATATTGGCTTTTGATTTTGTGTTACATAGGTGATACTGACACTGTTAAGAGATAGCTTGGTATCAGAACAAGGTGGTGTTTTCCTTCAATTATCCATCTCCAAGCTTTTAGGGCTTTGAGTGTGCATATATAGGGCCCCAAGGCCTCAGGATTCAGTAGCCTGTCTTCCTGAATTTTCTACACTCAACAAAGAATGAAGCTTCACTTAACATTTACCAGAGCATAATTTAACCCATTTCCTTATTTTATGGAGTTAGCCTTCACTTCCCTAGGTAAAGTGCATAGTTTTATGTAAACAAAACAGAAAGCTTCAAGGAGCCTAACTTGGAGCACTGTTTTTAAAAACAAAACTGAGCCTCAAGTCTGAAAAGGTTGTCCCGCAGTGAGATGGGTTTTGTTAAAGGGACCCTGTGATTGCTTTTATAAAGTGAATGCTGAGTCTATTTATTTGATCAGAATGTTGCAGGAACAATAATGTGGTGCCTTTTACTTTTCAAAATGTCTTCACATCTGTTATCTGACTTCGTCCACACAGCAACTCAGGTTGAAAAGGGGTTTTTATTCCTTTCCTACAGTTAACTGATTGAAGTTTTTCCCGCCTAGAGCAAGTAGACTTCTTCTGGATTCCTATGTAGCGAATAGAGAGGTGCTGCTTGTAAGGTTTAGCCTCTTAACTGATGGCGAGGGCCTTGTGCAGTTAGATTGTAATCCAGTGTTTCCCTTAACGTCATTGAAGTGTGACTGACATTCAGTAAGCTGCATGTGTTCAGAGTGCACAGCTGACAAGTTTGGGCCATGGTATTCACTTGCGAAGCCAGGACAGTCAAGAAAACGAACGTGTGCTCCACCCCAGGAAGTCGCCCGGTGCCCCTTTGTAACCCTCTCACCGTCCCCATGCCCCAGTCCCTGGGAAGCCACTGATCCACTTTCTGTAACTCTAGATGAGCTTGCCTTTTTCAGAGTTGTACATAAATGGAGGAAGAATGGTACTTGTAACTCATGGCAGATTTTCTGGCTTGGCTAAGGAGAAGTGTGGCCTTTCCAAGTGGTAATGTTCTCTTGCTTGAGTCCGAGTGGCCTTAATGTGGAATAATAGATGGTCTTTGGTATCTAACAACTCAGTGGGAGCCTGACTTTTTATGATAGCGATGTTGTTGTTGTGTGCCATGGAGTCGGATCTGACTCATAGCAACCCCTCCTTGGATTTCCGAGGCAGTATCACTACGGAAGTAGATTGCCCCATCTTCCTTCCGAGGAGTGAGTGGTGGGTTTGAACCGCCAGCCTTCTGGTTAGCAGTCAAGTGCCTTAGGCACTATGCTACCAGAGCTCCTTCAATAGCTAACGTTTATAAGTCAGGCCCTCGTCTGAGCACTTAAGATTTATTATCTCATTTAAACCTCGTAACAATCCTGTGAGGCAGATACTGTCACTACCCCCATTTTACATGTGAGGAAACTGAAGCTCCTTGCCCAGGGTCACACAGTTAGAGGTGGGAGATGTAGGAGTCAAACCCAGACAGTATGACTTTAGAACCAACGCCTGTCTCCCAGATGTGAACGAGAAAACTCGAGCCCTCTAGCATCCTTAATACCAGTAACAAAGTAAAGCATTACACATGGGGTTACATAGTCCCGAAGGCAGGGCCCTGTGTTGAATGGCAAGCGTTTATGTTCAACTTGGACCTGATTCTGAGGTCTTTGATCACTTCAGTAAACCAGACATTCAGAAAACGGAATGTCTCTGTACTGCTGCAGTTTCAGCTGGGTAATCAAGAGTTACCTTATCTCTTTCTGGCCCTAGCTGAGACACTGGCCGCCTCCTGAGGTGTGGGACACAGGATGATGGGCCACCAGTGAAGAAGTTAAGGTTTAAGGAACTAGAGAGTCACCTGCAACAGGTGACTGGATTCGAAGAGCCCAAACTAATCGAGGGCAGCGTCCAACCAGGCCGCCCATACCAGCGTTTATGCTGTGTATAATCCGGAACACACACAGAGCCATTGAAAATAATGCAGTTGCCAATCTAGGATGTGGTTGTGGAGTGCTGGGCATCAGAACTGCAGTGTTAGGAGCAGGCTTGTGTGTTGGGTTTGGCATAGATGAAGAGGCATTGGAGATATTTAATGGAAATGTGGAAGAGTTTGAGTTAACAAATGTTGACATGGGTCTGTATGCTGTGCACTCATTATATAGCAGAATGTCTCAGTCACTTGATACAGTAATTACAAATCCTCCTTTGGGACCAGGAATCATAAAGGGACAGGTACAGCTTTTCTGAAGACTGCTTTGGAAATGGCAAGAGCAGTATATTCTTGATGTAGATTCTCATCTAAAGAACATACTCAGAAGAAAGCAGCAAGATAGGCATTACTGCAGGGCTGAGCGGTGACCTGCCAGCAGCATGCTAAGTTCATAGAAAGAAATCAGTGGCCATTGAGTGGACCGAATTGGTTTTCTTTTTAAAAATCTCCAAAGACAAGGAAAAAAAGTTGGGGGGGGGACCAGGTTTGCTGGTCCGATAGAGTGGTGGAACCACTGAGACTATGGCCCCTAGCTGCCCTTCAGGTCTGGAATTGAACCCACACCTGTGGTTTCCAGCCAAACAGAAGACAGACATGTGAGTTGAACATTTACCTCAAGTAGATACACTCCTTGGAGAGAACAATCATGGGAGAAAGAAGGGCTGCTTAAGCACAGGGGGACAGCTCAGGGGGCAGGAG